CTCCTCAGATTTATAAATAGCAGCAAGGTTCCCAGGCTAAATGAACACAATACAATAAGCTGATAGTTATCTGGCCTGCACCCTGTACACACACACACACACACACACACACACACACACACACACACACACACACATACACATACAAATAGGCACATGCCAACCCGCCACATGAGGAAAAAAAAAAAGATGACCAAGACAAAGGAGCCTCTCTTCTGCTGAATTCCTGTCTGGCAGATTTTTCATTGGTTCAGAGTCTTTTCACAGCGAAGTGTGTCGACTATCACACAGTCTCACGCCACAACAACTCCTCCACAAGTCAATACAAACTAGTCAGTCGGCAGAAAATGAATACAATAAATCACATTCTTTTTATTTTAATTAAAAGTAAAAGTTCAACATTTTTAGAAATAATCTTACTTGCTTACTTTTCCAAGAGAATGATACTAAACATTTAGCTTAGCACCAAGTGTGGAAGCACAGGGAAACATCTGTCCACTATCGCTGCACGATATGCAAAACAAATCATATTGCGATTTCAGTTTTCATTTAATTTCCACTGGACACCATAAAAAATGATGATGATGTGATTTCTGTTGGTTCTTGTACCAAACAAACATCTGGAGAACATGATTTGTAGGTCGCAGCGTCTCTGTAGCACCACAACACTTACGGTGCTAACAATGCTAATGCTAACAATGCACAACAACGTCGTGACACATTTTACTTTTATCAAAAAAGAAATGCAGCTCCTGTGATTTGGATATTTCACTTATCGACATCTGTAAAAACTCAGTTATTAACACTTTATACCTTGTTTTTTTTTATCTGTGCTGCATCAGAAAAGAAAAACTTTCACTAGAATCAGTGAATTAATTTGCAGGGTTGAAGTAAATACATTGAAATCTTTACGTGTATTTAAAGTTCAGTGAACTTTGACCTGTGCCTTTTTGCATTTGACCAACAGCAAACCGTCTTAACCTTTGATTTAACACAGACCTGAGGAGTCCACATGTGGCTGTGTGTCACCATCCGGTTTTATTTAACCCAAACATATATAAACATATATATCAGTTATTTTCAGTGTAGCTAAATGCTGCTGGATTATATCACATACTAATTTGCATATTCTTGACATAATTCAATTACTATTTTCATATGAATACAAGAATTTAAAAAATAAAAAGATGATGTTTAATCTGTACATGAAATAATATGATAATGAAAATGGTGATTTATAATTAAAGCTAATTAAAGCTAAGCTCTTGAGAGTCAGTGAAGTTTAGTCTCGTGAGTTATTAAGATTCAACATGTTATTTAATGAGCTTTACAGGCGTTTTAAACATTAGACAGGGCCAGGCTAGCTGTTTCCCCCTGCTCCCAGTCTTTATGCTAAGCTAAGCTAACCACACTCTGACTCCAGCCTCATAACAAACACAGACATGAGAGTGATGTCTGTCTTTTCTAAATTAAAGCCGTATTTCCCTTTAAATGTTGAACTATTCCTTTAAAATCTAAACCGTCACCAGCTCCAACACGCTGAGCCCGTTCCAGCGCCACTCTGGCTCGGTGAGCGTGACCTTGGCGCAGCCGCCGCGGCACCACGGCGTGCCGTGTACTGTTGCCTCAACATGAGAGGTTACACATGTCTCTCAAAGACCTGTGTCCCTCTCATCATCCAGTCAGAGACTCAGCACAGAGCGCTGGCCAAGAATCAAATGTTATCAGCAAACACACACACACACACACACACACACACACAGCGAGGTGCAGACCAGCCTGAGCTTTAATAACTGTTTGTTTCCTTAAAAAAACCTTTCCCCTTAACCTTAATCCTTTCCTCAGCTGTTTTCATGTAAGCTAAATGTATAACTGTGGTGGGTAAATGGACGATGAGTTAAGTTTGTTTTGTTTTTTTACAGTTTCCAATGTCAATAATGTCAATAATTTTTTTCATTTTCAAATTATTACAATATGCAAAACACAATGTCTAAATTTAACCAGTCAGTAGATAAAAATGGTTGAATTTTCATTCTTCAGTACAAAACAGCAGTTTTCTTCCAACCTAATCTTTCTAATTTACCTCCACAGCAACCAAACACTAAACAAAACTGGCACCAGTGTCCATTAGCATACAGCCATGCTAGCCGCTATGCTACAGTGCTAACATATAGCTACGCCCATCTCTGACATCTCAGCAAACGGACAAGTGAAGCGTCCGTCACATCAGCGGACGCCAGCTTCTCTACAGCAGGTTTTAGCTCCCAGTGGGAAGCTGCACCTGTCAGTGGAACATCAGTGACGTGCTCGTGGTATGTGCACACGCATGTGCACGTTGAACACCAGCGACATGCCTTACCACCAGTCAAAGTGACTTATCACAAAGAATTTTTAACAGTGTCACATACGGATGGTGTTGTACAGTCTCATCTGCCAGAGACATGGTGTTTATAACTGACACACAGCTGTGGCATGGAAGTCAAACAGCAGCAACCGTGACGTCATAACTGTATTGATAATCGATTGATTGATTCAGTTTTCAAATGTGAGTATGAAGATAGATATGATGTTTTCTGACATTAGATATAAACAAGAATTAATATTTGTTGTTGTTATTTAGACTCGAAAATCATTTACAATGATGTCGAGTGGATAAAAATACTTGTTAAAAAAAGAACATCAATTAAAACAAATAAATAAAATTAATAAATAATCTAAAGACAAGAATCAATCAAAACAGAAATTTAAATGTCAGAGATTAAGAATCTAAAATGACCAAGAGAAACAAGAATTTAATTTTTAGTGTTTTGTAGTGAGTTCCAGGTCAATCAGTTCTAATCAGTTCATTGATAAAATCATAGCCACATAAATCAATAATGACAATAACTGGTTAGTTGCAGCCTCAAAACTAAAGTGGCGTATCATCAACCACTTTCCAATCCTTCCTGTTTTATTTTGAAACCTCTGTAGAGATTTAATATTAATATTTAAGAGCAGAAACAATGTCAGGGTGCGAGACAGGAAGGATGAAGGTTTGGTGGATGGACATAAAAGTGTGCGGGGAAACCAAAAGCACCGTAACACCGCACTGTCTCTCCTCAGTTTGACTCTTTATGACTCTGAACAAAAACAACAAAAACACCAGGAGGAGACGAAAAGGAAGAGAATAATCCAAACCCTCAGGAAAAGGAAGCCGGAGGGCAGCGAGGGAGGAAATGTTGTACAGAGGATAAAGTGGACGCAAGGTACCGCGAGCAGCAGTAAATAAACCCGGGGATACGGCGCAGAGATGAAGAGGCCGCCTGGACAGATTATAGTAACGAGCTAAACAGGATTGTGGTGGATTACAGAGGATTACAGAGAGGGTAAACCCGAGTGTGACGGGGCAGGCCAAGAGACCATGTGGTGGGCCGCGTGGAGGGAAACGCTCAGGTACATACACACATACAGGATGTACATGTGAACACAATGAGCACACACACACTCACACACACGAGCTCACAGCAGCAGCAACACCCCTCCTGCCCGAGCTCATGCCAACAAACATGGGATGGCTTGTTCTTTTATTTTGAAGGTGGAGTGAGAATGGAAAAAGAGAGAGTTGACACTGGTGTTATTGAACCTGCTCTAAAAAGTCTAATTTAATATTTCCTTACAATAAAAACTGTTCCACAAAACAATCTTAAGTTAAGATTTTACTTAAAGTCTGAGTTAAAGTTTCTTTAAAATAAAAACTATTGCACTAAACACCCTTAACTCTTCTCCTTAAGGTTTCCTTCAAATTTTCACTTAAGTATTTAAGGTTTTCTCCTGATCTCAGTCTTATACTTAAGGAACCACTTAACCAAACTAAGAAAAAAAAGGATGAACGTCCCAACAAGAGTTTTCTGTGATCGGAAGAACCTGATGGACACGATCAATGAGAGGAATTGATTTTGCTCTATAGATTTGATCGGCAGCCAGGTTTATGATTTGATCTGATCACTCCACTTTCCTCAGCAGTTATTGATGCTCTGTGGTTTGATGCTACGGGATCTTTCCGGTCAATTATTGGTGAAGTATTTCATGTACATCGATCAGCTGTCGTCTCCATGGAAACTGTAGAATTTTACTGCTGTAAAATCTCTGTCATTGCCGCAAATGCCTTAGCGTTTTTCCTTAACAAAGGAAACCTTTTAAGTTAGTCTGAGCAACAACCTTAAGTAACTCCCTCAGCTCAGGAGATATTCAACCGTCAGTGTCAAACTTAAGTAAAAAACTTAAGGTGTTTTATGAAACTGGCTCCCGAGCTGCAGCTCTAATAAACTGGACGCAGTAGCAACGAAGCACAACATCCATTCAAGCCACAACTGAGGAGGAAAGGGTTAACAGCCCTCACTGCTCTTATCAAATTATGAAAAATATCTCGAGACCGTGTATCAATAATAAGGATTTTCACCTTTTTCTATTTACACTCCACATTATTTCTGACAGAATGAACCCAGGAATAAAAACCTCCCCTCAGCGACTCCTTCCTGCTCTTTGACATTTCACAGCTTAAGTTCGACCTTGGTGACACGGTGTGCTTAGTGAAGTGTGTGTTCACAGTTAGTGTTAATATGTGTGTGTGTGTGTGTGTGTGTGTGTTTGGCAGAAGCATACACTTGCTATTGTGTTCTCCTAACACTATTACATAAGTCGAAGCTGAACAAGGTTCAATCTAATACTAACTGTGTTGCCCTGTGCTGGTGCAACGCTGTACTGTGCCGTCTGTCACACACACACATATACACACACACACACACACACACACCTGCACACACACATGGTCTACAGTTGAAGCTGTAGATCTGAATCCAACAGCTGTGGCACTAATTGTACAATCCCTTCAATCTTTTCCAGCCACGAAAACAAACGGTGAATATTCACATTTAAGAAGCTTTAAACAGCTAATCAATTATCACTGACCTCTCCTGTCAATCAGCTTATTAACAATATGTGTGTGTGTGTGTGTCACTTACGTCCACGATGTCGGAGTTGGTCCTGCTCTCGTGGGGCTCGTTGTACTCGGTGTATTTGAGCAGAACTTTGTCCATGTCGGTGCTGGCGTACTGGAACAACTTGTTGGTGCTGTTGAAGATGATGAGGGCGATCTCACAGTCGCACAGCACGCTCAGCTCGTACGCCTTCTTCATCAGACCAAACTTACGCTTGGTGAAAGTCACCTGGAGAAAAGAAGAGAAACGTTAAAAATATGTGGCTGTAGTCTTAGCGCTCATTTTGGAGCATTATTGGTGATTGATTAGCTTCAAGAACCAGTGACAGTATAGATTTTATCCCACTGACTGTGTTTGGTGGTAATTAACAAACATTAGCACGCTAACACATAAACTAAGATGGTGACCAAGGAAACATTATAGCTAGCTAGCTGTTAGCATTGTCATATGAGCATGTTAATATGCTAATGCTAGCACTGCTGATGCTCAGCTCAAGTGCAGCCTCAGAGAGCTGCTAGTGTCGCTGTAGCAAGTGCTAACTAGCAGTAATCTTAAATGTGGGAAAAAAAAAATTAGGGCAAAAATAAATAAATAAATGAAATAATTACTAAATAATATGAAGTTCAGACTTTTAATCTGCATTTAAAGTCACATTAAAAAACACGTTCTGGTTCCATTTTAACTCTCAGAACATTTTAATTGAGTTTTTCTCTTTCTGTTTTCAGTTTCTCAAAATTTTGATCAGTTCTTTTTTGTTCTACATTTTACATTTATATACTGTAGGTGTGTAATTATATCAACAGATCGCAGTAAGTTCTCAATGTCCTGCATGTTTTCATTTAAAATCATAATGTCATCATGTCATAACTCTTATTATAAATCTAAGAAAGCATCTGTATCTGAAGATCTAGCTGCACTTTGACAGATTTTATAACCTGGATAACTCAGTTTTCCACATTAGATAATAATCAGAGATATGAAAAGAAAATCTAAACTGTAATAAACTGCAGAACAAACTATCTTAAGTTTAATAAACACACTGGTTCTGTATGTTCCTTTGAAGATATCGTCACGCTCCTCCTCTTTCTGGTTAACACACACACACACACACAGAAGCAGTGGTTTAAGGAAAGTGGCGGGGTCAGTGCTGCCCTGCTACGAGGGTCAGGAAGCATATGTGCCTGCATTTCCTGTCATAACAGGAAGTGAGGAA